ATGAGGACCTCCGGACGCAGCCTGTCCCGTCGCCGCGTGTGGAAGGTAGCAGTGGTTCTCGACCCCCTGCTCGTGGCCTGTCACCCCTGGTCCGTATTCCCATTTCCTCTAGGTGGCGAGGAATGTGATCTTGCTGTTTTGTGAGCAGCAGTTGTGAAAGCCGGCCTGCAGGCCCCGGTGATTGTTTCCTGGTTCTCTTGTCGTAACAGGGGGCCGTGGCTAGGTGGCGAACACGGGCCTGCTTTTCCCTTCCCTCAGTGGGCACTCAGGGGCTGGGTCCAGGACCACACTGCAGTGACCTGCACTCCCAAGGTGCACGTGCGGGCGGCCTTCTGTATCGTTTCTGTTCAGAAGGAGTCCTGGGCGCCCTGTGGTGGGTTTGTGCGAGCCACTTGCACCCCCAGGCCCGGGGCCTGACCTGCCGGCCCTGCTCGTGACTCACAGAGCAGACGATCTCCAGGAGCTCAGACTTCTCAGCAAAAGCAGTGCCTGGGGAAGGGTGGCCAGTGACTCGCGTGCCCTGGGGTCAGTGGCAGTTCATACGTGTAGGCTAATCCCGATTAATCCTCTGGGTCAAGAATGGACCTGCAGGCCCTTATTTCTGATGGCTCTTGTCTACCTCAGGACTTCCAACCCCAGGTGGCACCTGCTCTGGGGCTGGAGGGGAACGCGGGCCTTTTGGTGAACAGGGTTTTTGCTCCCCGACTCGGGGAGACTTTCTGCAAAGTCAGGCAGAGCCCTCCTCTCCCCTCCGCCAGCCTGCAGGCGGCACATCAGGTCAACAGACTCAGTGGCATTCCCGCTTCCGGCCAGAGGCCACCTTCCAGGGTCACATCAGTGGATCTGTTACAAGGATGAAGAGGCAGGCAGAGGGCTTGGTGGGAAAGGCCAGAGGAGAGGTTTTCTCTCATTCATCTCTGTCCATGCCAAATCGCGTTTCCTGCCGTTTAAGGCAAAGGTGTGACGTGAGGATGGGTCTCAGCAAAGACCCACTGGCTTATCCTAGAGTTCCTATGGGTTTTAGGGTTCAGAGATTACACGGGTAGGATTGTTGTGTTTTTTTGCAGTATGCTGGAGAAGGCTCTGATGTCCCTGTGGTGAAAATGGATGAATTAAGAGAGATCTAAACAGTAGAGGAAGGAGGTGGGAATCCAGGATGGGCTCTAAAGTACAGGTAGGGGGTGGAGGTGAGGCTCCTCTAGGAAGAGGGAGGGCTGGGAGGGAAGTGGGGCAGGAAGACCAGCTGTAGACATGTCTGTGGGGCATGTACCTGAGGGAAACTCGGGGCTGGGCTGCTCTGTGAAGAGGAAGTGTCACGCAGGCAGGGCCCTTGCTTGTGCTCAAGAAGGGCCCCTCGTCCCTTTGGCAGGCTGCGAGGGGTGGGGGCCTCCGGGGCCCAGATGCTTCTGCTCCTCTCCAGAGACGCATCCCTGTCTTTTCTGAGGTTTGCTAGTTCCCTGCCACCCCCCACCTCCTGGCCGACTAAGCCCACAGGCCTCTCTGGACAGGTAGCACAGCGTGGGAAGTGGGGGGCTGAGGATGCTGACTGGGGGCCCGAACACACTGCCTGGTTCTTATCCTGGCTCCACCCCTTACTTGCTGTGTGACTTTGGGTGAGTGGCCTGACTTCTCTGAGCCTCAGTCTCCTCATGTGTAAAATGGGATTAATAATAATCATCCCTTTAAAAAAAAATCGTCCCTGCACAGGGTTCCTGCAGAGGTTGAGCAGGCAAGGACACGTGGCGCGCTAAGCGCAGAGCTGGGGCTCGGAGTCGGCACTGCTAGTGCTGTTCTGAGTCAAAGCCAGCTTTCAGCCCACCTGGGGCGGGGGTTTCAGGGCAGGCCAGGAGGTTGGCTGTGGGGGTGACGTGTAGATTTTGCTCAACCAGAAGTGTCAGAAGACGCTCAGCTGCGGATTGCCGCTTCACTCACTGTGCTCTAGGACAGAGTTTCTTCAAAAGGCAGACGCGGCCCTTGGCTTGTTCCTGGCCGTGGAGTTCAGCCTGGCTGAACCCTGCCAGGGCCCCTGGCGGCGCAGGTGCCGGAGACCAGGACACATGGGAGGGGCCTTCCTGCCGGGACCTTGAAGCCCAGGGCCCCCAGCGCCTCCTCTCACCCCCCTGGGTCACGTTCACCTTCGCTGTGGGCCAGAATCTGGTTGAGCCTCCCGGCGTCCTCTTGGGCAAGATGTCAGGGCTGGGTGACCCCCTTCCCAAGAAGGAAGACTTCAGGTCTCAGCCAGTGGACGCCCCCCTGGAGGTTGGTCATCTGGAGCAAAGATGGTCTCGCGTGGCCTGGGGTCCGCAGCCTCGGCTGACACGTCCCCGGCTGTGCTCCAGAAGTGGGGGGCCGAGCTGCGAGAGAGATGCTACAGGCCAAGTTGTTGCTGTGTTTCTAACCAGACCTGGTTCTGAGGTCACCGATTCCCGCGCTGCGGGAAGTAAAGGAAGTAAAGCGGGGATCCTGGTGCCTCTCCCCCCCACTCCCGACAGCCACATCCTGCAAGACCACAGGGTCACAGCGCCAGGACACCGACGTGGGTCAGGCAGGCCGTCCCCACAGAGACCCCTGTGTTGCCATCTTACAGCTGCACCCCCTTTCTTCCTACCTCCCCCACCAGGCCTGACAGCCACTAACCTGGCCTCCATTTCTCCAAGATGTCATTTTAAGAATGTCTTGGAGATGAAATCACACAGTACGTCGTCTTTGGGGACCAACTTTTTGGTCTTTGGTTCTGAATGAGCTCAGGCTGCTGATCAGTGCTCTGGGCCTGGAGGGAGAGCCCTGTCTGTCTCCTGCCTGGGGGCCCAGGACACAGCCCTCCCCCATAAGAACTTTTGCTGGATTTAGGTCTTAAGCCCTCAAAAAACAAAGGCTGCCGTGATTGGGCCAGGAGGGTTACTTGAGGGGAAGGTTTGGGGCCTCTGAGCCTCATTTCCCTCTCTGCCTGCTCCGTCTGCCCCTGCCCGGCTGCAGCTGGCACCAGGGCCTACCCTTTGCCCGACACAGCTCGCAGCTCCTCCCCAGGCCCTGAGTAGCCACTGTGTACACAGGGCCTACGTGCTCAGGATGTGGAAAAGGAAGCCACAAGCAGGAAGCCAATAGGGCCGTCAGAGCAATTAACCTGGACCCAACTCCCCGAGGGGCCTCGTGGCCGGTCAGCAGGCAGGGTGCCAGGCCACTCAAGAAGGAGGGGGCCCATGGGCTCGGGCCCTGTGTGTCATGGGGTCACCCTGCAACCAGGGCCCTGCAGCACTGGGAGGGGTGCGACACAGCAGGCCCTCCTGCTGCTGCGTGGAGACCCCAACACCACAGCCTAACCAGGAGGGAGGTGCACTTTCCTGGTGGGTGACAGCCCCTTGTCACTCTCTGTTTTTGGGGTGCAGCCCTCGTCCATGTGGCCCCAGCTCTGTCCCTATTCTGCCCATGTTCTGGGCAGCGGGAGGAGGGTAGGGAGCTGAGGGGCCGGGCAAACCCCAGACCAGGGAGCACATGGCACACACCTTGCTTCCTGCTGGCCAGAATGTGGTCAGGTTACAACACTTAGCTGCAAGGGGGGCTGGGATGCGATTTTTCTTCCAGGGATTGTGTTCCAAAGGAACCGCTCAGGGTTCTCCGGGGAGCAAGGGGATTGGGGTGACTAGTAAAGGGCAGGTTCCTCGTCTGCACATCAGGGTAATGGGAGCCATGCCCTGTTGAACCCTTTGAGCACTTAGCGCCAAGCCCATAGGAAGGGCTCAGAAGCATTAGGCAGTCCTGGTCCTTTCCCCTGCATGGCACCCTGCCGCGGCTCCCCGGGCCCTGCTGGGCGCAGTCTGCCCACGGAGCTGCAGTCGCGCTGCCCGCGTTGGACTGTTCTCAGCGGCCCCGCAGTGCTCTTCCCAGCAGGGCTCCCTGCAGCCGCACTGCCCCCGCGTCTCCTGTGCGCTCAGCCCCTAGACAGATGGCCTGGCCCTGCAGGCTTCCCGCCCGCTCAGCTGCAGGAAGTGGCTAATCCATCTCATGCAGCTTTTCACAAATGGTCTGATTTGCCTGCTGGTCCCCAGCCCAGGAGGAGTCAGGGATGGCCGGGCTGACCCCGGACAGCCTGTTCCCTCTCAGCCCAGATCCGCAACTCTGGCTGAGGCCCTGCAGGGGTGGTGCCGGGAGAGTCAGGGTGGGAACACGGTGGACTCAGGCAGCCTCACGGACAGCTGACCCTGTGCCCCAGTCCCCGTGGCCCTCCTCTCCCTCACCCATCGCAATACCACACGGCATTTCTGCAGGACAAAGGAGGGGAGGGAAGACCTGTCCCCAAGCCTCAGACTGTCTTCGTGGGCCTGAGAGAGCTCTGGAAACTTATGTGGGCACATGCCCCACCCCGGCCCAGAGCAAGCAGGCAACTCACTGTCCTCTCAGAGGTGGGAGGAGTGAAGGGACAGCCCCACAGAGGCCAGGAGAGATTCTGAGCCATGGGCAGGGCGAGGGTCAGAGTCAGGGCCCGGCAGGCTGGTGGCTGAGGCGGGCGGGACCAGTGTCTGTACACGTCCGGCAGAGGAGCGGCGGGCTCCGTCTCAGGGTAGCAGGCAGCCTTCTGCGGCCCAGGCCTGCCCCAGCTCCACTCGCCCCAAAGCCCACGGGGTGTGTCTTGCCCAAGTGCCTTCCTGCCTGGTCCCTCACCCTCTTCATCCAGGCGACACTGGGGCGGGGGGCGGGGGGCTGACTTCGAGAAAACAGATCCACTCGGACTAACACCAGAACGCCTGCAGAGCTATTCCTTCATGAAATCATCTGAGTGAACAAGTGATGCTGCGTGTGTGAAAACACACAAGCGGGTACTGACAGGGCCTCCGGCACACACGAGAGCAGGAGCGTCCAGGACAGAGCTGGGGCAGACGCACGGTGGGTGTGGCGCAGTCGGGCTCTCTGGGCCTGCTGGCTCCCGCGCCCCCGCCCCAGACCCGGCACCGGGACCAGCTATGCGGGCTCAACGGAGCTGAGGGAGGCCTCTCCCCCTGCAGGTGGACCTCTACAACACGGACCCCCTCATCTGCCGGGCGGGGCTCAAAGTGTGCTTTGGCATCCAGCTGCTCAACGCCGTGTCGCGGGTGGAGCGGGCCCTCCCCAAGCTGACCCTGCCCTTCCTGCTGCTGCAGGGCTCTGCCGACCGCCTGTGCGACAGCAGAGGGGCCTACCTGCTCATGGAGTCCGCCAAGAGCCAGGACAAGACGCTTAAGGTGAGCCGCTGTCCCTTCCCTGGGGTGGGGGGAGATGGCGCTCCTTGGAGACATCTGCCCAGACCCTGCAGGCCACCCCGGGAGAGATGTCTCGGGATGGGGCCAGCCTGGCCCCGCTGGGAGGTGGGTGCCAGGAACACCGGGGCTCTGTTCATTCTGAGGCGACACAAAGCCTTAGCTGGTTGCTTTCTGGAGGAGCAGGACAGAAAGGAGCCGCCAGAGGGCGCCGGGCAGCAGAGCTCTCCCAGGGAGTGCCCGCTCCTTGGTCTGTCCACTGGCCTGCAGGGCTCCCGCCCCTTCCCGTGGGCATCCTGCACCGCGAGGAGGTGAAGCCGGGCGTGGACATCACCCTTCCAGTGCAGGCGCAGGCGCAGGCGGGCCGGGCTGGAGGGAGGGGACAGTGACTTCAGAGAGGACGTGCTGGAGCATGTTGGGACAGGCTAGGTTATTGGAAGCACCACCCGAACACACGGCGTTGGCCCATAAGGAAGGCGTCCTCGGGGCCGAGGAGAGGGTCTTGGGGGCTCGTCCTCTGCCCCAGCCGCCTTGCCTCCACCTGTCACTTGCTGCAGCCGTGATTTCCTGTCTCCCAACTGCAGATTTACGAAGGTGCCTACCACGTCCTCCACAAAGAGCTTCCTGAAGTAACCAACTCTGTCTTCCGTGAGATAAACACGTGGGTCTCCCAAAGGACAGTGGTGGCGGGGACGGGGTCCCCACCCTGAATGTCTTGGCCGGCCGGCGGGCCACGGCCTGGGAAGTAGGCAGAGAACGGGCAGGAGCTGGCTTCTCAGATGTGGCTTGCCAACAAACAAAACAAATTGGAGGACTCCCTAGCACAATTAAAAATAAAGTCTTGTCGCCTGCCAGGCTGTCCACCACTGGGTCTGCCTTCACGGGTGGACACTGTGCAAAAGCAGAGAAGGTCACAGCATCTCCCAGACAAGAGACTGTGCTGGAAGGCCCTAGACAGCAGAGCCCTGCCCGGCCTCTCCCACCCCACAGGGCACCCAGGACTCCAGTGTCCTAGACGCCCACACCGGCTGCAATAACAACTGGGGGCCCCCACCCCCACCCCACGCTGGGGCCCCTCTCTGGCCGAGAGATGCCGGGCGGCATCTAGTCCCCGGGCCGATTCACCTGCCCTCCGAGGCCCAGAAATGCCCGCCTGTCCTCAGAATTTATCTCCACCCACAACCGTGTCACTCCTTGTCTGCGGGGGCTGCGAGTGGTTTTGGGCAGGTGGGGCTTGGCCCAGAAGGAGGCGTCCGTGGGGACCCTTGCTCCCCTTCCGTGTGCGCAGCGTGTCAGGACAGTCTCTCCTCGCTGACTAGTGTTACCTGACAGCCTGGGAGGACGGTTGTGTGGAAGAGAATGGCTGACATAATGTCAATTCCAAAGCAGAGACTGCTGGGTGGGAACGAGGGGCGTGAAGGTTGGTGCCTGGGCTCCGTGCAGCCCCCCAGTCCCGCCTGCCCGGCCAGCCAGCCTGGGATCCTCCTACCTCTGGCGGCGAGGAGGTCCCCATGCGGAGGCCTGGCCACACTGCAGGCTTGAGGCTGTGACTGGAGGGGCCGCCCAGCGGCCTGTCTCTCGGTGCCAAGCCCATCCACCCTGGCCCTCACTTGTGCCAGCAATAAATGGGGTCCCCGCCCCCGCGGGCTACTTCCACTTTCAGATGGGATGCGCGGTTACCTCATGAGGCCCCGACTGCAGACATGACCATGGGTGGGGGCCCCAAGGCCACGGGCCCTCTGACAGGCGCCCACACAACCTTCCGGGGCTGGTTCTGGGTCCACCCAGGGCCCTGCCCACACGTGTGGAGCCAGAGCTGGTCACTGTAAGCGTTCGCGTTCTGCTGCCCTGCCCCTCGGGAGGGGACAGGCCCGGTCCTCACAGAGAGGGGCTTCATTGCCCCATCTTCCTTCCCTGACTTCTCTTGGGAGCAGAAGATCATGGAGAAGGTGCACAGAGGAGCCGGGCCTGCTGCTCCCCGGGCAGCCTTGGGGGTGTTTCTGCTCCTTGGCTGACCAACAGCAGAAACTCCACCGCAAACCAAGACCCAGGCCTGGGGTCCTCGCCCAGCTATGAGCTGTGACAGGCAGGTCACATAGAGCCCCACACCTCCTGCCCGCCTCCCCAGGAGCATGCGACGGCTCGGCCGTCTCCCAAGTTCACTGTCAGGCATGTGGTCTGACCAGGAATCTTTCGATGCATGAATTTATTTATATGAAAGTTCTTACAGAGGCACCTTCAGTTGCATTTACAGATCTCGTTAAAGAATTGCCCATGATTAAAAGAAAAAAGTTATTTGAAACCGAGACTGTTTCCTAACCAGGAGAGGACACAGCAGGTGGCTGTGCTGGGAGGACGTCCCCTGTGTCCCAGGAGTGCGTGCGGCGGGGTCTGGGGGTCTGGACAGGGCTGCGCGCCTCCTTTCCCCGCAGTGCTGAGTGAGTCCAGAACCCAGCTCATTTGGCGGGCCACCCAGAGCGCCACAGCCGCTGTCACAGTGCTGCAGGGGGTGGGTTTGGAGGATGCGAGGTCACAATGGCCTGGCCTCCAGGTGAGAGCAGGACAGAGGTCAGGGAGGTGCCCTGGACATGAAGCAGATCCAAACGCCACCTAGGGGGATGGACGCAGTACTGGGGACTCGGCCCAAGCACACATATGAACACAGCGCCGTCCAAAACTCAGAGGCCATGTGGGCCACACGGAAACCGGTTTCATAGCTGAAAATCTTCCTAGGACAAGGGGTCGCCAGGGCCTGTGCCTTTGCAGGGAGGGGGCGGGCATGCAGCAGACACCCCAGCTTCCCCCGCAGCTCTGGGGCCCTGGGGCTCACAGAAGGAGCTGTGAAGGACGTTCTGGAAACCCCTGCAGGGCCCCACGCTCCCTTTTCTTCCCCACTGACCGCTCACACACACCCGTTAGGATCACAAGGATTTTCCAGGCGATTTACTGGTTTTTTCGTCACTGCAGCTCAGCCACACCCCACCTGTATGCTGTTAGCGCGTTACCAGTTTAGAACTATTAAAGGACTGGTGTACACCATAGCTAACCCTAATAAACCAGATGCTTTCTGACTGTTGTCTACCTGTCTGTTGGATCCAACTACAGTGTTTCCTGCAGACAGACCGGCCGGCCCCTGGTGAGGCCACGGTGGGGGTCTGGGCCCGGCCGGGCACGTGATGTAGCCGTGTGTGTGGACGTGATCGTCTCTCCGTGGGGCAGACCCATGGCGGTGGCTTTCTCCTCCAGTCTCTGGACCGAGGGCTCCCTGCCTTCGCTCCCCTTCCTTCCTCGTCCGCTGGCCCCACATGCCAGCTTCTTAGTGGAGCATTTCTAACCACCCTGTAGCATCCTCTGCCCCAGGCCGCCGCCTCCTACAGCACAGTCACTGCCATCTGATGTGACCGTGTTCCGTGGACCCTGGGTAGCTGTGTCCCCACCAGAACTGAGCTGCAGGAGAGGGATCCTCACATCAGACTTCTGGTTTCCAGGGTCTCCCGTGATGAGAAGGGATGGAGGCCAGGCTTGCTTGGGCTTGGCACTGGGGTTGAGGGTGCAGGGTCCGTGTCATGGCCCTGGTGCCCTTGCCCAGGGTCACACCTAGGAGGGCCCCCTTGGGCTTTGTTCTCTGCTGCCACCGACTTGAAATTCTCAGTTACTGCGTGCATCTGTTCCCCTCCCGAGCCCTGGTCCTCTGTACGACCGTGACCCTGAACTGCCTCCCGGGTGCGCTGCCTGTCTCCCTTGGCTTCGTTCTCCTTCTGGGACGTTACCTTCTTCCTTCGTCTGGAACACGTCCCTCTGCCGCCTCGTTTTATCTCACTTGCTGGTTGTGTTTCAGGTACGTGGTGGGCTAGTTGTGTGTCCCCCTTGGA